CATGTAAAATGCTGAGGATGTGCAACACTCGTTGTGCCAATTGGTGCTGTTGAATGGGATGATGACCAACCCCGACAAGCCAGGGGTTGAAAAGGTTTGCTGTTCTTTGACGCAAGCCAAATGGCTTAGCTTGCCCATGCTGCACCTTAGAGTCGAAGAGGATTTGGGCATCCTGGATGGCTCTCTGGTGCCTCCAGGCAATGCCTTCATGGTCAAGGGCTGGAACCGGAGTGTCTGTGCCTTGACAGTGTGCTACGCAGCTTACATGGTGCCAGAGCTGCTTGATGCCAGCTTCTGAGATTCTGCAATGTGTTTTGCAATGCGTCGCGAAAGAACATGTGTGTATCACTGGTGCACGCAGGCAATGCCAGACCACGTTCGTGAGCGCCTTGCTGGCATCCATTTTGGGGGTGTGATAGTATGTATGTTCCTGGCGCACCTATTCAAGTTCTGCGCAGGAGCTTCAGCACGATCTATGCCACTGGCGTCACGGCTGATCTTAATGTTGCTGTCTCCACGAACCGAGGCAGGTTTGAAACAACGATTGAAAACAACTATCGTCTGAAGAACAACTACCTCAATTGAACAACTACCTCATTTGAGCTCCTGATTGTCAGGAGTGACACTCGGCTCCTCGGTGCGCCGCAAGCCAAATGCCTTCAATCTTGTGCACCAACTAGAAATGATGATTCGTGGTGGCTTGACCCGTGAACAAGTGCTTGGAAGCTTGGAGGTGGACTGACAGTAACAGTTCAAGATAGTTCAAGGATGTTCATGGCATCACCTACAATATGTTTGAAGCCTGTCATAATGTCTTTGGAGGCAAGTGATGGCATCGCTAGCTTTGCCCAAGCGTATGCTTTGGGGAAACAAGAATGTGGCGCTGCGGTCAACCTCCTTCAGCGGATACCCTCGGAGATAAAGGATGTATTGACGCTTCTTGTCCAGTGTCTTGTCGCAGTGTTCTTTGAATGATGCTCAGGTCAAATCACACTAAAGGACACTCAAAGTTACCTTTAAAGCACACTCAAAGCCAACCCATGGAAGTCAATCCAGGAAATACACCCAGCCGCGCTTCATAACCCATGACTCTTTGAGTGGGAACTTCTTCAATGGTGGCTTTTCTTCTGCCTCGGGCATCTTAGTCCCCTGGAAGAGTCAACTCACAAATTCAACAGCATTGCTTCGGGTCTTGGTGGTGCGCTTGGAGAAAGACTGGCTGGCAATTGCGCCCAAGCACCGAAAGCCTTGGAACGCAAAAGATGTGGACTCTAGGCAGCTTTGTTCCAATCAGTAGATTGCCAACTGCTTCACTTGTCAAACACTGTGTCAACATGGAATGTTTCCAACTCCTGATCTCCAACAACTAAGGAACAGCTACAACGAATCTGTGGAGGGTTCCTTGCTTGCTTGGACCAGTTCAAGACCATGATCCCTGGGTCCTTTGCAGACCATTGCCTGACAGACATCCACAAAACGCCATATACTTAGCCATATCTAACTCACACTGCAATTCAATGCAACCATTCAACGCAATCTGGTCAATGTATGTTACAATCATTCATAGTACAGTAGGGTGCACCTGTTTTGAGGTTTGAGTTGCGTCATGGTGATTCCGACATCATGCAGTTGCTGGAGACATCTGTTCCTCCAGTAGATTTGGGGAAGGTAAGTATCTTCTCGGCGCACATTCAGCGGTACTATGCCCAGGCCAGGGTTCAATGTATATAGTGATGGGCGTGTGACTGAGATCTGAGCAGGTGGAGAAGGACAACCGTGACAAAGCCGCTGAGTCTCCTGGCAGAAATGTTCAAAGAACACGCTGAACCATAGTGAACCTAATGTTGTGAAATTTTCTTTTCAGGCTGAGTGCGCAGTTGTTGACAACTACGTGGCAGCAAACTCAGCTTCAACTGGAGGAGGACATGGATAAGGTCAAGCTGTGGTCAAGGAAGTTCCAAACTTACGCTGAGCAGCAGGCCCTTTCTTTAAACACAATGGATACAATGGTACTTGAAGTCTTTCAGCAAGAAATCATTGTATGGATACAGTGGTCTTAAATCAAATCATTGTATAATACATGGAGTCATTGTATAATACATGATCCAGGGAGCCATGGACTTCAAGCACATCAACGACCGCTTTCAGAGAGGCAAGGATTGGTCAGAGGACTTTCTAGAACGGAAGCACAAACTGGTCCATTTCTCTTCACTGGTGTTGGCGCACAGCGCTATTGTGTCAAGCCAAGCAGAGATGGGGCCTGATGGGTTTCTTGCTTGAAACTAACTGCGTCATTACGAAGACTAAATGGGCAAAAGTAACAATAAAACGTTTTGACTTAGGCTCACAATCTTGGTGGTGGATGCAACTCTGTGGCCAACACGCCCCTTGCAGTCTATGGGTTCTCATGGGTTCTCGTGGGTTCTGATGGGGTTTGATTTTCTTGTGCCTCCCAGGCCAGCTTTCAATTGATGAAGCCATTCAAATCTGTTCATCGGTGAGCTCTGGCAATGCCAACACAGTTGCCTTCTTTTGCATGCCGCAATGTCATTCTTCCACAAAGCGAGAATCGGTATTGAAGAACAGACGGCTTTTGGAAGATAAAGTGGGGCAGTGCGCTGTCTGCAAGTAACATGAAAGACAAATATCATCTATTATCGAATTTTGCGTCGCATGACCACTATTATCTATTATCTATTATCATCTATTATCCAACTACCTTCACTCGATTGTCTTCCAGGGCCATGGACATCTTCGAGGTGTCGATCAACTATGCTGATTCCACACACGGGGGTGACCGGCGAAAGACGTCACAACAGTGCATCTTTCATGCGCATGGCGGTCATTGTATTGATACTCAGCCCCTCGAAGCCCACATCCCCTGTCCCCTGTCGCTCCCCAGGTATGGCTGCCATCTCTGCCTCAACCTGGAACAACGCGGCTTTCTCGAAGTCGAAGGCCCTGCTCGGGTCGATCTGCGATGTGGAGAGAAGCAGAGTCTCTGAGCTTCAGAACCCGGACCCAGAAAGGTCTTTAGCGCCACATTGGAGGGCTCCTCGATTCAAATCTCCTACTGTTTCTTGAAACATTTCAATCTTTTAGGAAGTGTTCAGATCAACAGTATCAAACATATTGAATACATTTTTGGGTTCAGCGTTGCATCGCGTGCCTTGAGGTACAACAGAGAGGCATCCATGCCACTGCATGCATCATCAAGAACATCGTTGCAGGTGTTTCAAGCAACTCGCAACAGCCACTTCTGGTGGTGGACCTCTTGCCCTCCAGGCTAGGGTCTAGTGCTCATGATATATGATAATCCCTGAACTAATGCCCAGATTGAGAATGGGGAGGCCAAAACTCTTTCCACCCTTGATCCCTTCACCTGCCCAGGTTTGCTGAATGGTCCTTGGCAAGCTGGAGCATCCAGGCAGCTTTCCTTCAGGAAGCAAATCGAGAGTTGGATGTGCGCTTCTTGGGGGTATACCACTCGGACAACGCGGAGGAGCTGACCAGTGCCAGGGCAGTTTTGATGGGTCGGCTGATCTCTGACTACTGGGATGGATGTGAGAAAGCAGGCTCCAAAACTCGTGAAGCTTCTAGCTTTTCTGAGAGCTTGCCAACTTTGCAGAGCTTGGTGATCAACGAAGATGGGGAAATCAAGTTTTTTGATTGCAGTGTCATGCATGACTGCTTGATTTCAATGGGTAATCGTGAATAGAACAAAAAGGGAAATATTATATGTTTGCTTTATGTGTGTGTTTCTGATTGGAATCCAAGGATTCCGGACTTGCTGCAGCAGAAGTACTCGCAACAACCAGGTTTGAAGGACTTCACCGCCAAGCTTGCTGAGGACACTGAAATATCCGGAGCCTTGAGGACTTTCCATGCAGCCCAGCAGCGGTGCAATGCCACTCCAAGCGTGAGCACGGCCACGGTGCCAACCAGAACCCTGGCATCGCCAGAGTGGCAAGGTGATTCACCCATCAATGTCCGCAAGAGGCTCAACTTGGAGGAGATTTCCATGAGCCAGTTCGAATCTGCAAATGTGCAGCTTTGATGGTATTGGTACCCGTTTTGGGCCGGGGGAAGGATGGGTTGAGGGTTTCAGCAATTTTTGCGCAGTAGCTTCCCAACTCAAGCTAGTATCTAGTACTACTTGAACTGTTGGGGCCATCATACCTACTACACTAAGGCCAGAATACATCGCAGATCTACCTCGAGTTGCAGGGGTGAAAGTGTGCCTCACCAGCGACAACCACCTTTGGCTTCTCAACAAAAGCGGGAATGGATCTGTCGCGGAGATACCAGCAGGTGAATTGTTCGGCTTCAACATTGGCAGTTTCCTAGAAGTACCGCTAGGCCAGTGACTTCAACAGAATCCAACAAGGCTTCAAACAATCGAAACATTACAATAGAAAAAGAAAGGCTTCAATGAAACAACACCTGATGTCATCCGTTTATTTTGCAGGCAACGCACACCCATCGGATGTGCACCTTGGATGGGTCCTGAGCCAGGACAACACCTTGGTAGCAATGGCAGACAGCAAAGAGATCAAATCTGTCGCTGACATCATGTGTGATGTGGCAAAGCATCAGGGTGTCACTGAGATCCGCATTGTGGATCATACTGTCCAGCCTAAGGCTATTTTTTGTTGAGTCATACTGTTTGCATTGAGTGCTTGTGTGTTAAGCCAGTTTCCAAATAAAGCTGTGTATCTACCAACCGCCTATTTTACAATCGGTGTATTTTCCATCCATGCCACTCCATCCAATCGTTGGTCAGCCAACCATCCTGCCATCCGCCCGCATCCGCCCATCGATCTACCCATCCATCCCTGAACCTATCTGTCCATCATCCAACCGTCCACCCAAACCTATTCACTATTGTATACTATTGTCACTATTGGATTTATCCATTTGTCTATCCATCCGTCCATCCATTTGTTTAGCCAGTCATCCATTTCACTGTCTGTCTTCCACCTGTCAATCTGTGTGGAGGTGCTTGTTTGTCCTACCCTGCATCCAGCCAGCTAGCCATCCACTCCCTCTCTCACTCATTCTCTCTCTCCATCCTTTCGCCCAAGTGCTAACGCTGGTGACATAGCTGTTGATGTAGCCATCCTGACTGTGGGATCTTGGTGAGTTGGCAGGCGGGAACTGGTGATCGGCCGTTGGCCTATCGGTATGACATCTCGGCTATGACCATGGTCAATGTGTATAAGCCGAAGGAGCTTGCCGCCGACACCGACAAGCAGCACATACGATCGGTGCAATTTGGTGCTGTTTTCCATGCCAAATATTCACAACTTCCAAGATGCCAGCTGTGTGATGTGGTCTGGGAGGCCATGGTTGGATAACATAATCAGGAATCTCACAATCTTCATGATCTTCATGTCTACCCCTCAAACCACTGCTACCCAGGTGAAGGTGGATTCATCAGTGCCCGCTGTACTGAAGCCAATCAAACCAAAGTTCTATGTATTGGGCACTGTCAGCCTCAAAGATGGGTGCGCAGTCAGACTGAAGTGACATGCTTCAAGTCTGCCGGGGGTTGAATGTGATTGTAGGGATGGCTGGGTGATAAGACTCCATGATCCACCCTTTATACATAGTCCACTCTCGATAAACCTTGCCACTTTGTTTAGTCGAGACACCCATGCCTGTCAGAGAATCACATACTTTTGAGAAGGCTTGGGATGACCCTGAGCTTGTGGGTAGCGCGCTCTTGTGAGCACTGGATTTGCTGTGGAGCCCAAATGAACCCAAGCTTTGCTCTGAGACTCCACACTTGCAGCGGAAGGGCAAAACCTGCTTGAAGGTGAATTTGTTTACATGTGTTTGATTTGTGTGCCATAGATTCAGATCAACTCATGTCATGATCGGATATCTAGGATTGTGTGCGATGGCTTTGGATGCCGTCGAGACCCTAAGTGATGAGGATGCCAAACCTCAGGCGGCTCCTGTGACTCCTGTGACCAAAGCTGCACCGAAGGCTAAGAATAAAACAAAGACTGCACCAAAGAAAGATGCTGCACCAAAAGCAGATCTGATGAAGAAACCGTCGTTGCAAACCACTGGTGAGTCTAAACAAGTGGTGAAAAGTGTTCTGAAGCGGCCTGCCGCTGCTTCAAAGGCCAAGGCATCCTCCAAGGAATCTGCGCCTGAGAAGGTGCTTGTGTCGAAGGGCTTATACAAAAACGGCATGTATGGCTTCAAGATCAACGGCTCAGAGAAACTACGAGTCACTTTGATGCTGCACTCTATCAGTGACATGTGTTCTCTAGAGCTTTCAACAGCAACATGCAGTTTTTTCTGTAGTTTTCTCTAGACATGTGTTGATATGTCATTCTTCTAAGTTGAAGCCGGTAGAGGGCCTCACTGCGGAAGCATTGCACGACATTGCAGCTACTTAGTTGCTCCAAGATGTGCTGTGAATGTATCATATACAGTGTCTTTATGTAAAGATTTTTTAAACTAGTTTTGGCAGCCAAGGTGGCTGTGCGAGATGAGCTGATTCGAACAAAGGGCGATGTTCAAGCTGGATCTACACTCATGGTGTCTTAGCTAGATTTGCATCAAGGGAACATGAGGTGCAAGTCTCACCGCAATCGTTTTCAATTGATTGTGTGTTTGTTCTTTCTCGATTCTCAAAGGACACCATGGTGGCCGCGGCTGTGGCCAAGCTCAAGAAGGATGATGCTCTGGATGCCGATGAAGGGGCTGAGATGGAAGCCGATGAACCCTTTGAAGGGGAAGAGGAAGAACCTCGTGAAATTGATGATGCATTGGAGGGTTGAGTTTCTCTGACATGTTTCATGGGAATCTTTCAACCCCTATATCATCACAACATATCACAACCTTTGAGCATCTTTGAGCCATGTGGGACCTGCGTTCGGCCAGGTTCCAGTGCGAGCACACTTGACACCCGCATCCGCATGAGCTGCTGCGAAATGGTTTGGGCGCTTCTTGATAAGTAATCTTCAAAAAAATGCAGTTGTTTGCTTCAGGGCGCCCTTGAGATCGCCTTAGAATTTTGTGAAGGCCCCTTAGAAGACTGTGCCTGCAGGGCTTGTATGTTTCCAGCCACTATTGTTACAATGTCCAACCAAAGGTGGTTCTCGAATGGAAGCTGTGAGTGCAAGCCTGGTGACACTCGAACGCTGACAACCACCAGAATAGTGCTGCAAAAACGGCAGCTCTTGAGAGTTGGGAAAGGGTGGGGCAGACCCAAAATCGGTGTTGAAAGATCTTAGGATATCTTAGGGGTCATGCTTCGTGTGTTGCGCCTATGCCTTGTGGAACAACTTATGCCCTCAAGACTCTTGGCATGTTCTTCTCGAGGTGTAAATCGCAAGCTGTTGCAGGTAGCCATAGTTCAAAACATAAGGGGTCATTTTTCTCGCCAACAGTTATGTTATGTTTGCAGGTCTCGCAAACAGAAATTATCCAGAGCGACAGAGTGAGGTAGTTGTGAAGGTGCATCGCTCTCTTGTACCCCTTGTATACTAGAATCCTGTAAGAGTCTTTGCTTTGTTTTTTTCTATCTAAGCTTAAATGCCACTTCATTGTTTGGGCACCAGCTATCTACAGGTCATCTCCACTTAGCCGTGAAGCTAGTCATTCCAGCTGATCAAACAGTCCAGCAGTTCAAACTTTCTCAAAGTTGAGCCAGTTATCACTGTTGATACATGTTGATACACTGGTTTTGGCCAAAGCCCTGGTTGCAAAGCAAGACCCTGAACCAATGGAACAGCCCATTGAAGCTCTTGGGAACGATGGCATGGCCGGAACGGCCCGTTGAAATCCTACACCAGGAACAGGAGCACTCCCTGACTCTGAAACAGCCTTTGGGGTCGACATTCCATAGACCAACCTGGGATCAACACCAAGATGATGAACATGTGAACCATCATGCAATGCACCACACGGCATGCCATGCGGTCCCGGACCGCCAGGGGCTCGAGGAAGAGGAACTTCTGCATGGGATGGTCCTTCATGCGACGCAATGTTCCTTTGAATGTTGACTGGCTCCCTGATGGTCGCAACACTAGAGGGTCGCGTAGGCACTGGGTACATATATCTTTCATGAGGAGGTGGTTCAAAAGGGTCCGTACCATTCTCGGGCTCTTCAAGACTACTTTTGCAGTTCCAACACCAACCACGCCCAACAACATTTTGGTTTCCACACACATGGGAGTAAACAACGTTCAATGGTGAGGCTGAAGCAACCGACGGGGCGCTTCCGGCTTCCGACGGACACGCATCAAAGTAGCCTGCAACAGGCGAAGCTCGAAGGGCTTCGTTCTCACGCGCAAGGTCTTGACACCTAGCTTCTGCTGCAGCTGTCACGCGTTGTATCTCGCGTTGGGCTTGTTCTGCTATCTGCTGATGCTTGAGGATTTCTGCTTGTGCCTCTGTTGTGATCTGGTTGATTCTGCTATGTGCTTGTTGTGCCATGCTGGCTTCTTGCTGTTGGATGTGTTGGTTCATCTGTTGATGTTCAAGGCTCAACTGTAATGCTGCATTCTGCTGCTCAAGTTGATGTTGTTGTCGTTCATGCTGTATCACCTGTTCTGCATGGTTCAACTGCGTTTGAACGTAACCCTGAACAATTCTTTCAAGTGTCTCTGGATCGATGTTGTGCTGGTTGAGTACTTGTAGGTGGTTGAGGGTTCTCTGATCATAAACATGCACCCCAGGAACAGTCGATGGATCACCTTGTACCCCAGAAGGTTGGGAAGGTTCAGAACTCTGAGTCCGCATGCGACTCACTGCAACTTTTGTATTTCCCTTGGCCGGCACACTCACTTGGAGCCCGGTTCCTCCACCAGTTCCCAACAAATCACCCTCCATCCTCGCAAGCCCAGTCTCCGGAGAAATGGATGAACTCGAGGTTTCGTAGGAGCCTTCAGGACCGATGACACGAAAGGGTGTTGCAGGAAGCGACCGTTTTGACATCGACTATCCGGTGCAATGCAATGACTCTCAACGCAAGCAATCAACTCAATATAATACAGCTCAGCCCAACTTGACTTAGGCTCACTGATCCAAAGAAACACAAGTCTTGAGTGGGTGGCCTTTGTAATGAAGGGTTATCACACAAACAATCAACTCACAACAACTGACTCTCGGCACCTCTCGGAACGCTCAATCCTCCCCTTTTACACTGCTCGGCACGCGATCGGGTGTCGCGGTTGTCTGCCACGCGCCTAGGGCTGCGAGTTTTGCAGTGGTCGCGGCGAAGCCGCGAGAGCAAGTCGCGATCGTCGCGAAGGGCGCGACAGATCGCGGAGGCGACGGCGCTCCAACAAAGTACCACGAATCAACCAATGTTCAAACACTCCACAAACAATGTACCACTCACACCAAAACGCACAATGTTCGCCGCTTGCTCAACTTGCCACGTGACCCTTGGTCGACAGGTTTATTGCAGCAGCCTTCAATGCACAATGCTCAACAATGATGCAACGTCAGTCTCAACCCAACACTTGGCTTCTAGCCGACAGATTTATTGACCAATGTTGCAATGCTCAGCCAACCAATGCCTGCTCACACGACGCAAAATGCGATCAACAATGCACTGGTCGACTCTCTCTCTCTTTCACCGGCTCAGGATTCTCCCGAGCTCTCTTGCGCTCGGCAGCTCCCCTGCCCTCGGAAACTCCTGTAGGACTCGCTCGAGCGGGACCAGTGCCTCAGCCGGGGTGACCCCCGATCTGACCAAATGTGTCCTTCCCCCTGAGGCAGGTTGTGCTGCCAGCTTCGGACGTCCGACAACAATGCGGCCTGATCGTCCACGAACACGAGTGCACCAAGTTCCGTAACGAGCTGGGCCTTGGGGCCGCTGTGGCCACTGATGGAAGGACTCTGAATGTGGTCCTTGATGAACTTTGTACGGGTCACTGCAATCACGTCGAACGGCCGATCCAGCCTAGCGTTGACTCCTTCCACGCCTGCCAGCACTAACTCTTGCGTCTCCCTCGCCGAAGCAAAGCTCAACACGCCCAATGCGTAGCCCTCCGACTGAAGACGACGAAGTAGCTGAATCGCACTCTCGTGAACCGGCTGGTGAGGGAAGCTCAACGTCTTATGCCAATCAAACAGGATCAACGGCTTGTCTTGCCACACGCTCGATGGAGACGCGCAGGCTCTGTCGGCCGTACGGAAGTCGACGGCTCAGCCGCTGCGGCAGGCTGAGGCCTTTCCTTCGGCCGTGGAGCAAGCGCAACAGGCTGAATCTCCTCCGTCAACCGCGGCTTCGATGCGGCCCTTGTAGCCGCCGGAACTGGCGGCGCGCGAGGCACCGGAGGTGGAGGCGGCAGGCTCTCTATCTCCAATCTTCTTGCAGCTTCGGCCTGCTCAATCTCCTGCTTAGTGGGAGCGGGAGGTGGAACCGGAAGCTCTTCGATGGCGCGCTTCAACCCGGATCCGGAGGAGCCTTCACCCTCGCGCTGGCGCGATGAATCACGACCAATGGCACGCCGCAATGCACCAACTGCCGACTCCTCACGCTCAATGTCACCAGTCTCGCTCGGTTCCTTCTTTGTCTTGGCTTTGGCTGACGTTGCCTGTGGAGGTGGTTTGACCCTCTTCTCAACAGGTGGTCTCTCCTCAACCGGCTCTTCACTTACTGATGGCGACGGTTTGCTGGCCGTAGGTCGAGCTGACCTGGATCGAAGTTCTCTGGCTCTCTCACGGAGGCTGCCAGGTTCAACGGATGCCGAACGCTCAGTAGCCGCCTCGGTGGCTTGCCTCGCGATCGAATCCTCGGTCGCCGAAAAGTCAACACCCGATGCAACTTCGGGCGAACCTCCAGGAACCTCAGGAGCAATGTCAACAGCTTCTGCACGATGTTCACGGGGTTCACCTGTCACTGTATCAACGCTCTCACCTTCGAGTTCTACCTCCTCCTCAGGGATCTCGTCGTCTCGCGAATCGTCTTCGCGATCTCTGCTGTCGTCCCGCACTGGGCTCAAGCCGCCCTCAGGCACCCAAACCCAACACTTCTTCCAACTCCCACGCTGTTGCGGCCTCGATCTTGACCTCTCAACACGCTCTGTAGGAGTCCGCGACCTCTCAACCCGACTGGACCGTGGATCTTCAGGAGGCGATTCTTCTTCTGTCTCCGACGCCGGCCTCGGCGGGCGTCTTACCTCCCAAGTCTCAACAAACCCAGGAGGCGGGAACCAGGGCTGCCTCGGACTTCGCGCCGGGTATACTTCTCTTCTCGGCTGCTCTGAGCAGGTCGCCTGTCTCTGTCCTCGCGAGCGTATTCACGCTCGCGATCACGACCACGCTCAACCCGATGTCCCTGTCTGCTTCTCTGGTGCGGTCCTCTGTTGGGAGACCGCGTTCCCTTCTCGATTGTTGACTCGGACGGTTTGGATCCCCTCCTCGGGGTCCACGTCGTCTCCGTGAGCGCTCACGCTCGCGCTCACGCGGGGGCATGGATCGCGCTCGAAAGCGCGAGGCAACAAGTGTTTGAAGAAAGTTTCAACACAATGCCAGTGTTTCGTATGACAAGCTTGTCTCGATCTATGTGTATGGTTTCGTTTTTCAACCAATGGTCTCCTTGTAGCTCTTGCGGCTGATAACCAGTTGAAAGCTAAAACCTTGGTCTATCTCCTGGTAGGCCGACTCAAACGCGAACGATCGTATCCGGTCGCGTCACAGCCTGTTTTCCAAAGTCTTGAGCCAAACGAGTTGGCGTTCAGTAACACAGTTCACACGGCAATGCTACTTTAGCATACCGATTTCAGATGATGCAACTCTTTACATGATAATTCCAATCTTGGACAAAGTGGTCCTAGATCCCTCCTATCAACTATAGATGTAAGCATGCAAACCTCACTCAAAGCTCAGTTCATCTTGTAGCTGTTTTAGCTGAGGGATTTCATCTACATATCATATATATATATATATGCTACATGTTAGCGATATCAACATCTGTCTGCTGTTCACATTCACCGTAGATGGACAAAAACCTTACGGACCACTTGAGGATCTCAACACCTGTGGAACCCACCATCTACTCTGAACCCAGCTATTTAGATCTATTTAGTAGGGCTATCTCCGAAACTGATGACTAACCACTTGCCCACATCGCCCGGATTGGGTGTAAAACAAGTGCGTGTGTGTACTTCAGTGGCGGTGCTGGTGCTTCGTCACAGTGTCGTAATGATGGACCTCAGTCCTTGAGAAGTGTGTTGTTGAAATACTAATCGCCCGTCGCCTGTCTTCTCTCTTTAAGCCCTTACTTTCACCAACCCCTCATCCCATGATCCTATTCTAAAACGAAACAACCGAAAACATTAGTCTGTGGGATCTCTCCTGACGAGAAAGCTAGTCTTGGTGACATCCACCCAAAAAATATGACACCTTCTAGGCGGGTTGTCAATCCCAACGTTTCCATTAGGGCTGATGAGAATTGATGAGCAATTGATCCAGCAAGTACCAAAAGAATCAGCTGAGTCGATGCTGTTGATCATGAATTGTTGCATCTTGTAGCCAGGTGTTCCATAGCGATTTTTGAGTTGACCGTTGACCATGATCCATCTGGTGTCACTCGTCAAGCCATCCCGTCTGTCTCATTGACCTCATCGTCGGTTCCTTCCCGCCTGCGACGTTCAAGTGATCTCGCTCTGGATGCTGTGCCGCTCAGACGAGACATGGCCATGGCAAAGTACCAGGTACTCGCGCTGCAAGGCTCCTGGAAAAAAAAAGAACAGAAAAAAAACACACATACAGTAAACAACTTTTAAAAAAGATAACGGATCTGATGGATGGCAGTCAGGTGTTAGGTGATTTTTTTTGGTGTGTACAAGTCGTCACTCTTTGGTTCCGAAAATATCCGTTTCACCACCTGAGTGCACCACCGTTCCCGGCCACGAAAAGGTACGGCTCCACACATCCTCCACAGCGGCTCCTGTGGAGAGCTGAAACTTGAGGTCGTGGAGGGATTGGTAGGTCCTCGGCTGCAAAGAAATTGCTGGTAACAAAGGGCATCGCTACTAGGAGCAAGAAGCGCAAGAAGCTACTAGTAGCTCCTGGCATTACTACTAGTAACACGAAGCTACTAGGAACAAGGGCATCGACGCTACTAGTAGCTCCTGGCATTACTACAGTAACAACAAGCTACTAGGAACA